AGAAAACAATTAAAATTCTAATAGGTCTAACCATAAATAAAATATCTCATAATCTGTGACCCAGTGAAAAACCGTGATTTTAAAATCAAAATTATGATACAAAATTTGAGCTTCTGGATCCTTTAACATAGGGACTAAGACTTATAATTTTTTTTATAAGCATGTTGACAACATATGGATGTTGGCGTCCTTTAATGTACTTGTGTTTGTCCCCATAAGTGGTAAATATAAAATTGTTTTTCAAGCGTAGGACATTTATCTTGTAGTAACTAGAAAAATATCGATGTCGTCTCCTCAAGGAAACTTAGACAAATTCTAAAGGTGATGTGATTCAAACAAAATTTAAAATCTTTTGGTTTTAGAAAATAGAGACAATTGATAAAAACTAAGAGACAATGTTAAAGGAACTGGATACCTATCAAAGTTCATACCACCTTGAATTAGAATTTAAAAAATATGTATTTTGGTGATAGAATTAACTCATGGAAAAATTAACAGGGCTTTTCACACTCTGCACTCCAAAAAATGTTAAAATTTTCATTTTGCATCCTAAAATATTAATTTGTCAACATTGCACCCTCATTGTTTTAAATTAGCTGCAATGTGGTTCCTCAAACCAACTGTCGTCTCTTTTCTCGTTAAATCTCGTTGTACATGCAAAGCACGTGTATTACCCATGGGGCAAAATTATAAAAACAAATAATGTGGTAGTCTTCTCAACTATAAAAAACGCACAACGTAAAAACTCATAATCGTTAGAGACATAAGCATAGTGGTTTTCTCTACGTTTTTTATGGCTTTGAATGATAGGAACTCAAATGTTCGAATCAAAATGAAATTGAATCCGATTTTGAGTTCACTTGTGAATTGCATTAGGTTTTCTGTAATCAATTGTGTAGTATTCAGGAACCAAAGCTGTGAATCGAAGAGCAGGTGAGCTAGATTTTCAAAACTCGATTTTATCTGCGAGCACTTTCATGAAGAAGGCCCAGTGGCCTATGATTCCAATGTCGAAGTCAATGACGTGGACGACAGTCAAACCGTTGATGGCTTGGTTGGAGGTGAACTTGGAGAACATGGGGATAGGAGAGATGTTGCATAAGATTTTGTAGGTTTTATTGTTTTGGATGATTTCAGGGGAAGTGGTAGGACGAGTTGGCTAAGTTAACCAAGTGAGTAGGGACTAGAGAGCTTATTTGAAGTAGAAAGTAGCTCTCTGGAGGGATTTTTTGGTGGGTGATCGGAGGTGTTGATTGGGCCACTAATGGAGATCGTTTCGAGAGGTTAACAGTGTTCGAATTGTGGGGATGATCCGTCATGGGAGAGATTGAAATAGGAGGGGATGAATTGGTTTGTATCAAACGAGTGAGGCTCCTCGATACTATGTCTCGCAATGAGTGAGTTGGGGTTTCAATGTCAAACCATGGGTTGAATCATCATGATGACCCAATTCTTTAGAGTGCAAAGTAGAAATTTTAACATATTTGATGTTGATTGCAAGGACTCTAAGAATTAACCATGCAAAATTTAATTGACTACTATTATCTTATTCTTTCTGCTTATCTTGTGTTATTTGTTCTTATTATTTACTCCATAAAATATATAAAACTATATGTTATGAAATTATTTATTCCATGAAACTAATTCAAAATTTTTATATATCTAACGACATATATTTTGTCACTTACTTTTTAATTTGTAAATCACACTTAGTATAATAAAAAAATAGCACACATTTTTCATGATTTGATAACTTTTTTATCTGAGTTTTACATCTTTACCTAAAATTAAGTCTTAATTAATTCAGGGTTTAAATTCCTCTAGAATTTCCATTGACAATGTGAGTGGGCGATGATCGTTGTATGAAATTTGATATTTTTTATTGTCTTTTATGATTGTGTGGACGAGTTTTCATCATGCTAGAAACTTCATCAAACAATATTTTTTAGCCATTTTGACGATTTTCTCACATTATTTTTTAGGGTAAAAGACACGGACACCCCTGAGTTTTTGCAATATTAAACGAATATACTCTAACATTTTACAAATAACACGGAGACCTCTTGAAGTTTGAAATTCATTGCACGAAGACCCCCTCCATCTCCTTCCCGTCAATGTTGCTAACGGAAAGTGACGATTTTATCCTAATTTTTTTTTATTATTTTCACAATTGCTCTTCTACAAATTTTGTATAAAAAAAATTAAATTAAAATTTTAATAAAATCAAACAAAATTTGATTTAGTACATAAAAAATTGATATAAAGTAGTACCCCAAAAAATTGATTAAATGAATTTCAATATTAATTTGATAACAATAAAAATTAATTTTACAAAATTAAATATTAATTTAAAAAAATTAAATATTAATTTAAAAAAATTAAATGTCAATTTGAAAAAATTAAATATTATTTGTTATTGATCTAATCAACACGAAATTGACCTTAGATTATATTTTTGAAAATATTATCAATATTTTGGTACTAAATCTTTAAAAAATTTTGAACTATCAAATTTTCAAATTTGTTTTATCAAATTTTTATGATACTTTCACTTATTTTCATATGAACCAAAGATTTTTGAGTTTACAAAGTGGAGGTGAGTGATTCTCTTTGAAAAAAAAAAAGTGGGGGGTGAACAATTGGTTTGGTTTAAGTATGTGTGGTTGAATCTTGACCAAAAGAAAATTTATCAACTATTATAGTAAAAGAGAAGACACTATGCTATAAAAAAATATATGTATTTAAATTTATGGGTTAAAATATAAATTTTTAAGTTTATATACAACAAAAAATTATAATTTAAGGTCAATTTCATGTTGGTTTAATCAATACCAAATAGTATTCAACACAAAATGAACCTTAGATTGTAAATTGATATACAATTTTATAAAAAAAAATTGGCATTTAATTTTGTCCAATATATATTCAACTTTTTTTGAATTAATATCAAATTAATTTTTATTGTTATCAAATTAATATTAAAATTTATTTAATCATTTTTTTGGTGTACTAAATTATATCAATTTTTTGAATACTAAATCAAATCTTGTTCCATTTTATTAAATTTTTAATTTTTTTGGGTACGAAAGTTGGAGAAAGGTAATTGTAAAAATAATAAAAAAAAATTGGGATGAAAATCATCACTTTCTATTAGCAACATTGACGAAAGGGAAATAGAGGAGATCTTCGTGCAATAAATTTCAAACCTCAAGAGGTCTCCGTGTTAGTTATAAAATGTCAGGGGTGTTCGTATAATATTACAAAAACTCAGGTGATGTCCATATTTTTTACCCTATTTTTAAATTAGAAATTAATTTATTAGTATTTTATCTTAAAAACTTGAATTATTATATTTCTAATAGAAGTAGTTGTTGGTTTGGAAGACTTGTTAGTAGCCAAAAAAGAAATGTTAAATGCGGAGAATTGAATATTTGGTAATTAAATTTATAATTATATTGTGTCATTTTGAGTTAAATGATGATAATAATAATAAATTCGTGAATTTTATAAATGAGCAAGATTTGATTGATTTTATTTATCACTTAAAATTATGAATTTAATTGTGTTTAGTTATTTTTTTTTTCTTGAGGTATTTATTACATGATGGATTGGAAATATGGTGCTTATGTTTATAATTATATTCTGTTATTGAATTGAGTGGTGGTAGATGTGATAAATTCGTAAGTCTTATAAATAAGCAATATTCTATTTATTTTATCTATTGCTTAAGAATTTTAAATATCAATGGGTTATGTTAATATTTGTTTTTTTTCTTTCGTAAGAATTTGTATATATGACATTGTTTTGGGGAGTTTTTATATATTTTTATGACAGTTCCATTAATATGAAGGATATTATTGGTGATATATTTTTAGTTATTTTAGAAGAATAATTTGTATAAATATTTTTACATCATTCCTTTTGAATTTGAGCAATTGTTTAAAATTTTTTTATTTGTTATGTAATTATTTCAGGCACGGGTAATGACTAGTGCTATTATAAAAAGTTAGTAAAAGTGAAAATTTTTTGTTTGATTATATTAACCTAATAATATTGTACGAAAATTTTCCAATTTCGTCTATTTTATTTTTGCAATGTTTTTGCCTATTTGGTAAAAGTTATTGGATTCATTAATAAATTAATAAAGTCATCTTTTGCCTTTTGATTTTCTCCATCTAGATGATGCAAAAGAGTTTTCAAGTATTTCATTAAACCTATTGGATGCATTAATTCATCTAATACCATCATTTTTGGCTTTTTGGTTATCTCCTTAAAAAACTTCCTATGTATACCCCCCCCCCCCCCCCCCCCCCCCCCCCCCCCCCCCCCCCCCCCCCCCCCCCCCACCCCACCCTCAACACCTCCCCAACA